TGAGTAGGTTTGGCATGTGGCTATTAGGCTTTTGATGTTAATTGAGAGAATACTTATTAATATTATATATTATTATTGAGAATAAAGTCAAAGAATTGTTAATGCAATATTGATATATACTAACCTTTTCTTGATAAGATATAATACCAAATTGACAACTTACATAAACATTCCACAAACAAAAAAAAAAAAACCTAATAGTAATAGGAATTAATAAAGGATGGAGACAGAACAAGGGATCGCAGCATTTTTTCCCCTGCAACGCAAGCTATTGCTCCCCCACACCAGAGAAAATATTTTCCTTCACTTTTGTTCCTTTTGTTTTCTCTATCTCTTTATAATTGCAAAATCATTAAATAACAAAAAAAAAAAATCAAAATTCCATCTCCATTTTCCGTCTTACACTTTTCTTGGCTACAGATTAAAAGTCTCAGACCTTAGCAAATCAAAATTCCCATATTATAAGTACAATTAAGTTTAATGAGACATCTTCTATATCTTATATTTTTTTAATGTATAATACATAGTTAATATAATTATACAAGAAGGGAAACTTATTTTACAATTTATATTATATCAAACTGTAAAACAGAAACCATTTGAGGGAGAAAGGCTCTCCATATTAGGGGATTAATCTCCATTCAATAATTAGTGTCGTACAATCTAATGCAATTTGAATTGCATTATACTTGTTTGATATAAGAAAACATAATATAGATTCAACAACTTAAGTATGATACAAATAAATTACAAAACAATTTATCATACAAGAGTTAAACCTACATCTCAAAATTATGAAACCTAAATGAGGGTTTAGATTAATTGTTTAAATATAATTAATAATTGATATCTAATGACTAATAATAATAATTATTTTGTAATTTAAAATATTTAATTTGTTTGATTAAAATTAATAATTAATAATTAATTATAAAATTCCAAAATAAAGAATGGGATTACTATCGCACACTAAATAATTAATATTACACATTTTACTTAACTAGCTATTCTCCTTTTACACTACACTTTTTTTTAAAATTTTTTAAATAAATTAAAAAAATATAATAATCAATTAAATTAACGAGACATGATATTAATAATTGTAAATGTAGCAGAAACACCACTCCAAAACAAACACCCCTTAGCCTCTACAATGCTAGCTGTAATCACTTGACCCTGGCTTTACTGGCCTTCTTATCTTATGTCACGGGCTTTAGGGACGAATTTAAATTTACCACCTTCTTTTTGGTAAAGACAAGTTGTCATTTTGAACATAATTTTTTTTCTTTATTCTGTTTAAAAGATTTCGATTTTTTAAAAGAAAGATGCTGTGAAGGACGAATATACTGGCAAATAAAAAAAAATAGCTAACAGTTGTTCGACGCCTCGCTATTTTCATTTGATGAATTTTTTGTATGCATACTTATTTGATATTATATTCGTTTGATAATGCCTGATTACTCAATTTTAAAGTAGAGACGATGCATATATGCATCTTTCTATGATTCCAAATTCTTAATTTTAAATATTAACATTCTAGAAGATTCTTTCATCCAATGTTTTTTTCTTTTTTTTAACAAAAATAATATAATTATAATTTCACGTAATTTTATAAATTTATAATATGATATATTATTATATATAATTAATTATTTTTATTTAAAATTTTATTAATAATATTATATATATCTATTTCTTTAAAAATATATCATATTTATTTAATATTATATTATGATTATAAATTTATAATTATATATAATATTATAAGCATAATATTCCAATATTTACTAACAAGTTACGTAAAGGAAAGAAATTGAGAAAGAGAGAATTGTTTTCAAAGATTTGAAACAAAAACTTTGTCTTGGTGAAGCTGCACCTTATCCGAAACAGCACTAGTGTTGCAGGTGCTTTAATTTCGTCAAGTTGAAGAGAAAGTTGTTCTTTTTCTTGATGATTCAGTTTGAGGAGAATAATGGAGCACTAACAAATGCGAGAGAATAATGAACAATACATGAAAAATAATAAAACATCAACCGAAGATAAAATGATACGATGTGGGGAAATTTTTTTTTTTCTTCTTTAAGTTGAGACGCAAATCAATTATAACAACTTTGCTTCCTTGTCAAACACACAATAAATGTATATACCAAAAAAGAAAACACACGATAAATGTTACACAAAAGTTTTAAAATATTTATATATTATTAAATAAATTAATACAAATCTATTCATATATTTACAAAGTAAAAAAAAAAAAAAGAATTGTAATTATTTTTATTATGCAGAATTGTGACTTTGTTGTTGAAGGTGGTTATTGTCATCATAAAAAATTATTAAAATCATCAATTTTAATTTTTTTAAATAATATCTAAAAACATTAATTTATTGGTTAATTTTAATTTATTAACTAATAAATATCAATTATTTTATTAGTTATTAATAAATAATTACAGTTATTAATTATTTCTATTAATTAAATTAAATTAAATCAATCTTTTTAAAGATAATTTTTTTTATAATTGTTTGTGATCTTAATATTTTAATTGGAGGTTATAACTTTACCTTTTGTTCTTAGATACAAAAATTGTGTGTAAATCATTTTTCCACCAAATAGCAAGGTATTTGTATGAAAACTTTCTATAAAACCTTAAACTTCACCATTCTCGACCATAAAACCCTGTAAATTTAAATAAATTCTAAAATTTTGAGAACTATTCTAAACATAAGAATTTTATTTTTCGGCCACTCATAAGAATTTATTTTCAAATGAATTTTTTAATGATCTATTGTTTAAAATGAAATAAATTTAAAATATAAGAAATTCATTTTTTATTAAATTGCTAAGAGTTTGATTAGTTTGACAGAAGAGAGAAGACAGAGGAAAGAATAGTTTGTCCAATTAAATTATAATGTTATATCAACCACTAATTTCACCAATCTCCACTTCCCTTTCTTCAAACATATTCTAAGCATTTTTGTACAATCCCCCATGTGGCGCAATAGTGGCCATGCTATTCATTAGGTAGCAAGTGGAATGCACTCAGATCTGAGATTCGACCTTTTTAAAAAGTAATAGATATTAACACCTAATCTAATCATTTCCTCTTGTCAAAAAAAAAAAAACATAATCTAAGCATTTTCAAGGCAAAACCCACTCTAAAGTCCCTAAACTTATTTCAAATTAACACATGAGCTTCTAAACTAAAAACAATGCAAATAAACTCTCAAACCCCTTAAATGATGCAAATAAACCCTCAAACCCCTCGAAAGATGTAAACTAGCTTTCATTATTGACGACCCAATGCATATGATGTTATCTCAACCACTAATTTCACCAGTCTCCACTTCTCTTTCATCAAACATATTCTAAGCATTTTCAAGGCAAAACCTACTCTAAAGTCCCTAGACTTATTTCAAATTAACACATGAGCTTCTAAACTAAAAACGATACAAATA